TTTTTTTTTTTTTTTTTTCTTTAAATTATGGATAATGATTTATTTAGAACACCAATTGTAAAGCTTCTGCTTCGTATTAATGTCTTTGTTAAGTGTTCCACTTATAATATTTTGCACTTGAATACATTACAGATAAGACTGGTTTTAATAAATGGTTTCGAGCATCGCTTCTGTCCTATCTGTATGTTAAAATATTTTGTCATGTGATTTCACATCCCCGTTTCTCGAACTTACGCGAACGTAACCCACCGATACTATTATCTGGGAGAAGCAACGTTGCAATTATTGATAGTACAGTATGCAAATCGACAATGACATTGCACAAGTATAAAAATACCGAGCGCGTACACACGTATATTTCTTTTGTGTTTTTTAAGTGAATGTAAATTTCGATTACGATGCAAAAATATTTGTCCCGTTGTGTGTCGTTCGGCACACATTTCTGAACAACAAATTAATGCCCATGAAAGATTTATTTACTACGAAAAAATATTTGCCCGCTCAGAAGTCCCTTCCACAATTCCATTTTGAAATTATTGTCCAACACTTGCGATAATTGGGAATTATTGAGGAAGAGGACCGTGTTCCAACAGCTCTATTTAGAAAACTGCACGTTCGATTAATTCCTTTCGAGGAAAACGCTCGTCGATTCGTTCCGCGAACGAGGGTAATGGTAATTATATGAAAGATGTATTAAACACGCATCAGCCGAGTCGACATCAAAACCCATGCACGAAACGTTCTGCGTGATTAATCGTTAAATAGCTTGAAAAGTGTATTGAATCAATGGTGTATCGGGGAACGAATCAGCGATGATTTTAAGCCGCCTCGATAAAAACAAACCCGTTCTTAACACGAATACCTTCCCGCCTTTTTTCTTTCTTTCTTTCTTTCCTTTTCCTTTACTTTTTCAAACGAGTCCCGCTGAGTGACACGCGGAAAAATGCGAGAGGTTGACACAAACATTGCGCGTGCATTTGCTGGGAAACCCCCGCGAGTGGCCGTGCATTTCATTTGATGACAGATGCATCCGTCGTTGGCCATTTAGTCGAGAACACGGCCAACAGCCGCGTGTCGAAGGATCGCCAGCTATGCAGAGTGAGTTTTGCAACGCACGATTCGAGGAAATGCTGGAAACAAAGTTGAAAACACTACGTAGAGCGTACAGACGTAGGAGTAAACCGGCAGGTCTCAAAGTTCCAAGACGCTGCGAACTTGAAGAGCAATTCTGAATTTCAAGAAATTTCTAGAAATTTATTAGCTGTAAATTGGAGATTAATTTCTCGTGACATTTTTGGATCAACTTGTCGGAGTAGGATAATCTGACCTCTTTCGAATATGTCTGACATCACAACGCACTCCCTTCTTCTTCTTCTTCTTCTTCTTCTTCTTCTTCTTTTTCTTCTTCTTCCAAAAGTAAAGCCAAGAACAAGAACCTCCCATCATCTACATTGAGAACCAGGGGGAACGGGGTGAAGAATAGAACGAAGTAAAAAATTCATGGGAACAGAAACTTTATTCAGCTTCAGTTGCATCGAGATGCGGCAGTTTCCGCGCTGAGAATCAAGAAAGACAGATCGATCACGTATATATCCGTATTACTTTGGGGGTAACTTTTTAAAAAACCGCGATATATCTGTCTGTCATGCCTCGTATCTGT